ATATGTGGTTTATAAACAAAATCACTAACTGAATTATGAAAGGCAATTCGACAAATATTTTGAATTTCTGCTCTTATATTCAGCTGCCAAAATTCCAACTGATATTTCAGTACTGAACATTTTTAACAAGCAGTACTTTCAGACCGTTCAAAATGTTTTTGTATTTTAGATCCAGATGGAAGTACTGGTTCAGTTGGGTGAATGACTGACTATAATCCAGGGTGATTGTTTCTTATTAAATTACAAAATACATATTATTTATTTTGAGTTTGGAAATCAGAAAAATAATATTTTATAATTATACATCCAATCCTATAGAATTTTCCTTGCATGTTATGTAAGATTTCAGTTACACACATAGATGAACTGACAGGATTTAAAAGGAAAAAAAAGTTCCCCCTTATAATTCTTTCTTTGCTACTTAATTTTTAGCTAAGAATGAAAGTGTTCTTCTACCTGGTATTAGCCAGTTAGTCCTTTATGATAGTATTTTTTTCTTCCCACAAATTAAGATGTTCACTCTTAATAAACCACAGTAATTAAAAACCTAAACGATTACAAGATAGGAAATACTTAAATGTTATTAGAAATACATGATTATGCAAATTGCCCCCTCTTTTCCCTTTCTATAGGTCACATACACTAGCATTATCAGCAAAAATAACATTGTATCATTCACTGATACGCGTTTTCTCTCCTTGTCAAGTATCAATTGCTTTAGAGGTCTACTAAAAGAGTGAACAAACTGAAAACTGTAATTTTCTATTCATTCCACCAGTCCTCTCTGGAAATCTCCCCAAATCGCATTTTAACTCTGCCTTGATAATACATTCCTATGATTCACCAGCAGTAACCCACCCATTTCAGTTTATCATCACTACCAGGCTCCTAAAGGTATCCCATCCAAATCTTTAAGATCTTTTACCACACGACTGTGGTAAACACACCCATTAGTATCATTCTCCTTACATCCCTTTACATTTTTCCTTTACACGATAGTCCTTCCTTCTCTTTCAAAGACAAATCTGTCACAACAGTTTGATTACTTTTTTTTTTTAATACTATGTCCAACATTCTCAGGTATTTTATATTCAAATAAATCCTGAACTGTGTTAAATCTAGTCACAATTTTTTCTTTAGGCAATTAAGGAAAGTTAAGTCTAATGGTTTCAGAATACTCTTACAAATTTTCTTTTCTTTTCTCTTTTAAGGATTTTATTTATTTGTTGATGAGAGACACAGAGAGGGAGGCAGAGACACAGGCAGAGGGAGAAGCAGGCTCCCTGCGGGGAGCCCGACGCGGGACTCGATCCCGGGACCCCGGGATCACAGCCTGAGCCGAAGGCAGACGCTCAACCACTGAGCCACCCGGGCGTCCCCTCTCATAAAAAAAATTTCTTAACCAAACTTGAGATCAGCTAAATCACTATCACTCATAAAAACAAAACAAAACAAAACAAAAACAAAAACATAGCTATTTCAAATTTGATCGAGTATAGAAACATACAGTATCTTAGTGGACTGCATTAAAAAAATAAATGTGTGGAACTTCTGCAGCACCATCTCCCAAAATCAAAGGAGTAAAACTCCACAGTAACTTACCTCAGAAACAACATAATCCTTCACACCATTAACACAATTTTACACTGTTCATTGAAAGGCTACTTAAAAGGGGATCATACAAGACTGATTTTTAAAAGTGCTTTAATGCACGTATGCAGTGCCATGAACCTGACTCAGTTTTCTAATTTGCTGTGCTTACGACGGAGTAAAATTTACATGTTGGGTCTATTAAATACAAACATTCTCGTGATAACTTTCATTCCTGTATTTTACCCATTTGCAAGATGAAAACTCTGGGTCTCACACCTCAGTCCGCTTTCTAATCTCTACTTAGCACTTTTGTTATTTGGGGCCACTAAGTAAGACACTGCAGCCTCACAGAAGATATTTCCAGTTCCACTACTAAACTGATCAAGGTCATGGGTTGTCTATTCACGGAGACCCACAATGATACCCATTTACAGTTCTCATTATCCTCCAAAAAGAAGGAACTCTCTTTCAAATGTTTATACTTGGCTTCCTCGTAGGAAGAGCCTCGTTTATGTGCAACCAAACATAAAATAGTTACATTGCTGATCTTGTCATTCAATTTTGCAATCCATTCTTAAAAAATTAATCTAAAAATGTCACTTCCAGACTTAAAAAAAAAAAAGCTGTAATGATCTCGAAAAGCAAGATTAAGCCTAGCTCCTTTTAAGTTTCCAATAGATAATGCTTATAAAAACAAGACTTTATAGAAAGCAGAATGAACAAATGAGTCAGTCACAAGTTAAAATTAAACAACACGTTTCAAAGCAAAACCTAAAAAATAATAATTAATTAGGGAGTTTCCAACTTGTTACAATCACTCACACTTTTCCTTTGTCATAACACAATATGCCTTTATACGCTGCTCTTGTACAGTTCTCTTTTGGTGGGTTGGGGATGCAGATTCAGAGATTTTGTCTTAATTCCTAAATTCTGTGCATTTTCACTTCATCACATGACAATAATTTTGACTGCAATTGTTTTGATAAGAAAAAAAAAAGTTATTTACAATTCTCACCAACCAATGGAAGCTGTGTGATTTTATGAGTTACTAGAGAAAAGATTTAATATATAAACACAAAGATTAGCCATCTTTTTCCTAGATTGGGAATGTAAACAGAAGTTCACCACAGTTGTCTGTTAAGTTATTTATTAATTGTTCCACAATAGTACTAAAGTTCATACCAAACCAAAGTACCTAAAGAAGTCTGCACTGAAAGAATGACAGAGTAAGAACAGTTTTTCCAAGGTCTCTTTTACCGTTCTGATTAAATTCTTCAGGACCCCTGTCAATATTGGGAGTAAACCTGTTCCTTTCCTTCTCCTATTCTAAAATGTTCCTTACCTCCCTTAACACACAACCTCTGCCCATTATTCTTTTACTCCCTACAAACACAGGAAACAAAATTTTCCCCTTGGAGTATATAAGATTCAAATCATTAACATTTTTTCTCCAGCTGTTTATCTACATTTCCCAAGAGATACCTATCTCAACATGTAACAACATACTTTTTCAAGGCTTATCTTGCACAGGATATTTCAACCTAGCTAGGCACACTCAGGCTATACGAAGCAGAGGCTTATGTTATTAAGAACTCAGTACTATTCTTTCTGGGCAAAGAGGTAGAGGGGTTGGTTGTGGGCTTTCATTTTTGTCAATATACATGCTTATGTGGGAAGCTACTCCGGTACAAACTAAAGGAGCCCAGAAGATGACTGCAGTTATTTATTATACACTGTTAACACATTTTCTTTGTTGGTGGAAAATACTGAACTATTGTCAAGTCTAGCATCTCTATGGTACTTATTATCAGATGAGAAACTGTGCAAAGAATTATATTCAACTCATTATTTGGCCAGCTTATCATAAAACTTTATGGCCTTATGTAACCTAAATGTGTTCTATATAAATGCTAGGTAACTAAATTGCATATGAAGAAACTTTAAGTACTCAATTATCAGATGCTTTTTTTAGTTTAGGTATTAATTATAAAATAAAATTTCAATATTTAGGCAGTCTTCTAAAGCAGAGATTCTCTTTTTCAAAGTTTATTTATTTATTTATTTAGTAATCTCTCTATGTAAGGGGGCCCAAACTCACGATGGAGATCAAGAGCTGCATGCTCTTCCCACTGAGCTGGCCAGGTGCCCCAAGGCAGGGATTCTTAACCTAAGGTCCACAGGTTAAGAATTTTTTATTGGGAGGGTTTTTTTTTTTGGGGGGGGGGAGTTGCTTTTTTGGGGGGAGCAGTGGCGGGCGGTTCTTGTGAGCATAGAGACTGGCTTGTAAATCTTCATGTGCAAGTATATTTCTAATGAATTGGGGTGGGGAGATAATCAATTCTATCATCAGCTGCCCAAGAAGTCTGTAACCCTAAAAAAAGTTACATAGTTTCTCCCCTAAGGTGAGGCAAAGGCTCATTGAAAATTTAAATAGAAAAAAAAAAAAGAAAGAAAATTTAAATAGAATCTACCCGTTGGTCACTCATATGCAGTCAATTCTTTTTTAAAAAGCAAAATAGGCACGAAGAAAGTAGAAGTAATTTAAAAAGTGTAGCCCCTCTTCATAGCTTAATATCTTTTTAAACTCAAGAGGATTTGTTTTCAAATTTTTTGATCAAGGATAAGGCAACAGAATTCCTAGTGCTGTCTTCATGCTAATGTTCGAGTATTCAATTAAGGAAGGTAAAATAACATTAACAGGCGGAACAAAACAATTTCCCTCAAAATCTGTCAGGAACTCTTTATCGTCTCATAGAGGGTACGAGAAGATTGGCAAACCAACACAGGTCCTCCTCCGTGGTGAGGGATCCCGTAACAAAAATATTCACGGAACATTACTGACATAACCTCACACGTGATGGTTGTGGATCATATCATAGCACTAACAAAGGAATCTTGCATCACACTTTAAAAATTAAATCCTGTCATTGTGGATTAGAGAAAACATGAAGACCATAAAACTCAAGAAATGATAGTCTTCAGATGTAGTTTACTCTAAAAATAGAACTTTGAAGTTCAGAAACTTATTTTTCTTGAGGCAAGTTCTTCAGTTTAACAAGACCTATGAATCTGGAAACTGAGGATGAGGCCACATTGCTCAAACCGTCACCCAGTTCAGGCTTACATGCCACTAATGACCGGTAACTACAAAATGCCACATACGGGGAAGGAACAAGAGGTAGAAATACTTGGATCGCTGTTCACAATGTGAAAACAACACTAAAAATTTTAAGTACAGGAGCTCCTGGCTGATCTGGGGGTTGTGAGTTCAAGCTCCACACTGAGTATAGAGGGTACAAAAAAAAAATTTTTTTTTTAAGCACAGACTTTTATTTTCACATATTTCACATATTTCAGTTCTTATTATTGAATTACCATACAAATTACTGAGCAGCAACTGCTAAATTATGGTAGTCCTCGTCCTGAATGTACAGCGAAACAACAGTTTCCTACTTCATATCCTAACACCTTAAACGTAAAAACCTTAAATTTTAAAAAGATCATATTCAGGTATGAACATTCCGCAAACCGAAACAAAGGAGAGGGAGGGTAGGTGGGTAAAAAAAAAAAAAAGAAGAAGAAGAAGAAGAAAAAAAAAAAGGGTTAACCTAGAATAGAGAAGTCATCTGCGCAGAGAAATCAAGAGGTGAATTTGAATGCAGAATCAGTGAGATTCTGCTTAGCAGTCTTAATCGAGAAAATGACCAAATCTAGGAAATGACCTTGGCAAAGAAAGAACCAATTTACTTTTCCTAATCATGTGGGCCCAGGAGTAGATATTTCTCTTACAGAGAAAGCCATGTTTATGCCTAATATAATTTATCATTTCCCTACAGTAGCATCATACGCCAAAAAAAAAAAAAAAAAAAGCCCCCAAGGTTTCAAAGACCTATTCTACCCTTTAGTATTTTTTACTCCTTAATTCAACATTTACAGCCACTGAATTTCAAAGCACAATTTTCTCATGATCTTACATAGCCACTCAAAATTTTTTCTCCATCTTTAAAAGGCACTTTCAAACATCTTTTCATCTCCAATATTTAAATGTCTTACCTCTTTTCTTCTGCTATCTATACCTGTAGCCTTTTCAAACATGGTTAAACTATGACTGATACTTTCTTTTCCTACTAAAAACACTCAAGGACATTTTTGTGTCATACTGTTATCTTATTACAACGTTTTCGAACCAAAATGGATGCATCTAGAACCAAGAGATACTGGATTCTGATTTTAAATGAGGCCTCAATAGACAGTCTCTCTGGTATAATACTTAGGATAGGTAACCTAATTTCAACAAAGCATGTTCTGATTTATATAATATTAATACATTTCTACCCTTCCATTATAGTACACCTCAAACACAAAGGAAGTAACCAATTTTTCAAATAAAATAAACCTAGAAATATGAAACACTTAAGCTAAAAAAACACACTAAGAATACAAGTCCCTATATTGTAGGTCATACCACTGACGTGAATACTTTAGAAAATGTAGTTAATTTAAAAACCTGAAAAATGTTACTGGATATTAAGTGATATCTCCTTCCTTCAATTTTGTGATTAACAGGTCTTTTATTGGTAGTAAACTAGAGCAAACAATCAGAATAATACATATGCAGTATTCAGTACACACAATAAAAGTTAAAGAAATTCAAAACCTGTATAAAACAAACACTGGAGAAAAATCATACAGTTTAAGAGATACAGTGGTAAAGGTCCTCTCCATCCTTTGATTACAGCTTGTACTCTGTACCCAATAGAACTTACCGCACTTACCAAAATAAGAAATACAGACTTTTTTTTAGTATTGAGTGTAAATTTAAGAGGATTAAACACATTTTCTAAGAATCTTGCAATGACAAATAGGTGACCCTTTAGCTGGTAAGCAGACTCAAGGGAGGAAAAGTGGGGAAAGGAAATTAACTAATATTTTGTAACCATTTTTAATAATTTCTTATTTTCCAAACACTGCTTTCATAACAGAAGTGTTTTACACTTGCACAATATTAATTACTTTATTATACATGGAAGCCTGTGGTAGGCTGATTACACAATAAGACTGCAAACAACCAGTGGTACTTTTCTGACGTCAGAAGAGTACATAAGACTGAAACATCACCAAAAGTACATAAAAAACTCATCAGCATAAACATCAAAGTACATTAAAAAATATAATCAGGAAAAAAAATACAATTGCTAAAAAGTGGTTTAGAGCAGAGCTACTGTCTCATCAGTAGCCTCAAATGGCAATTAGCGTTCATAGCAAGTTTTGATGACTTTACAAGACCCCTGTACAATACTGACTAATGCACCCTTTTAAAATGTACATTAAAGGCTGCAATTTCACAAAGAGGTTCTGATGTCATTAGTAAATGCAGACACTCTTACCTCTCGAGTTAGCAATGTCACTAGTTGGAATTAACAACCTTAGTATCCGTAGCTCAGGATAGGTGGGGCTTTATTATACATGGAAGTCTGTACGGGTTTTATCTTTTTAAAAAGGTATGTGGGTTTTTTTTTTTTTAATCCTACTGTTTAGTATTTGAATGCCATAAGGCATATAAAACGCCTAATGAATTACCTAATGGAATGTAAATCATTCTAAAATTGAAACTGTCTAGATAGAAGAGGGAACAAGGCAGGCTCAGAACTCTAAGAAAGAGGGTAGGTCAAGAACAAGAACAAAAAAACAGAAGTGTGGGTGACATGTAATAACACAGACAAGAGAACAATATGTTAAGCCATGTATAATAAATAATGCATACCCCAAATTTCAAAGAATTATGTAATTCCAACTTGGGTTCTAATACTGGTACCAACCAACCACTCAGGTGTCAACACTGCTGGATATCATAACTTCTAATGGAACTACAGCCTTGTTAACAGTTGGGATAAGGAGAGGGTGCTATTTTTTTTTTTTCCTTCTTCTTCTTCTTCTTCTTCTTCTTCTCTTCTTCTTTTTCTTCTTCTATTAAAGCTATCATTCCAGGCTTTGATCAAAGATCCAAGAATATTTGTTCTACCAGGCTGGAATGAATGGTTTGGAAGTTCAGAGTACATTTAAAAGCTGCAACAAAATATAGGTAGCCAACATCTCAGAATTTTGGATCAGCCTAGATGGAGACAGCAATTTGAAATGTTTTCGATCCCTTACTTAAAAATGATGAAATGTGTATCATGATGCCCAGATAGAGCAATTTGAAATGTTTTCGATCCCTTACTTAAATGATGAAATGTATTATCATACTATCTGTAAATTGGATATTCCATTACAGTGATAACGTACAGAATTCCCATGCGTTATTACACTTTCCTGAGAGTAAAGCAATTAGAATAACCTTAATCCTAGCAACAAAGTTTTTTTTTGTGTGTGTGTTTTTTGTTGTTTTATTTTTTTGTTTTTTTTTTTTTTTGGTAGGGTTTTTATTTTATTATTTTGGGGGGGGGGGCTTTTTTTGTTTTTGTGTTTTTTTTGTTTTTTTTTTTTTGTTTTTTTTTTTTTTGCATTTAAAACTTTTGGGCTATTCCCTGACGATCTATACATGTAAATTTGATTGCTAAACATTGTCACTTTGAATGTCAAACTATTTTTAATCTATTGATTTTGATTTAAAAATCATAATACAAACAGAGCTAAAATCACGCTAACAAAATAAACTAAATATGAAAAGTTGCATTGAAAGGGCATTACATTATTCTTAATAGGATCGTGTAGAAACATTCCAATGGCAGTGTTCTCAAAATAAAACAAAATTACATTAGACCTCCAGCCTGGTCACTTTTTGGGACCTTACCTGTAACTTTGGCTGGTGGGCGTCTTTACTCTTGTACTACATGGCTCACTTACATCAGACATCATGTTTGTATACCCTGAGAAATCTGACACTGAAGTCCTTACTCTATGGTCCACTTCTCCATTAGAGTTAGTGATGAAGGTCATTGGCACCCTGCTGCCCGACTTAAACTGAGAACCAAACGCCTGTGCAAAGTTCTCAATCTGGTACGTTGTTCTAGGCTCTATGTCCTTCTGAGGATCTATCTGGCTAGCTAACTCCTGAGATGGAATCTGAAAGCTTGTTGAGGACTCTAAATTTTTCTGTTGTTCCTTCTGGCTAGTCAATTTCTGAGATGAGGACTGGAAGGCTGACGAAGTCTCTAGATTCTTCTGAGAATCTATCAGATCATCCAGCTCCTGGGAAGGTGTCAACTGCTGATGTGTAGCATCCAAAGCAGATAAATAAAGACCTGGTTGAGATCCAAACAACATCCCAAAAGGAGGCTTTGGCAATGAAGATGGCAACACTGAGGTAACAGATTGGCCGAAACCACACTCCAAAGGAGATGTAGTGTATATCTGTTTTTCTGGAAATAAAGTGTGGTTGTGGAGAGGTGAAGACAAACTGACAAACTGGAAACCGTGTCCAAGAGTAAAACCTGCATTAGTGGATTTTTCAAAAGCCTGTTGGAGGTATTTGGAGTATTCTTGCAACATGCTCGCCTTATCGTTTGAAGGTGTTTGGGTGCCTGGGCTCAAATTTTCTTCCTGAACCAATTCCGAGTGTTCTCCTGAGGTGTGTAAATCCACTCGCGGTTCCGTTATACTGAAAGGATCCTCTTTCTGGCTTTCCGATTTGTTGGAGTACTGATCCAAAATGCTTTGTAAAACCTCGTCGGGAATTCCAGACTTGTCATGACAAGACTTGATTTCAGCATTGAGAGCCGAGGAGTCAATGAGGGACAATGGGGTCTCATTGTCCAAAACACTGACACCTGCAGACTGAATGACGGACTGTTGGGAGACCATGTGTCCTACGTTTATAGAAAAGGCACTGTTGCTGCTGGCAGTTGGTAAGTATCTTCTTTTCTTTGAAAACTGCATGGCATCATCGTAAGTACTGCTTATCTGACCTTGTTTGCCACTGGTACTTTGGAGAAGACTAATGGTCTCCACGCTATTATTCGATACGATGCCAAGTGAGCCACTGGGTTTCCCAGACAAGGACTTCTGTCCAACCATGTCTGGCAACGGCGACACAAAGTTAAGGTAGCTTTTATCGGTGTTCTTTCTGCTTCCTTTCTTAAAGATCAACTTTGGCACCCTTTTCTGCAGTTCATCAATACCGGTGCCAATTATGCCTCCACTGGAAGACACGGTAGGCATTTCTACGGAGTAACTCTGCATGTTCATGTTATTTGAAATCTGTGATTCGTTCGTTTTACCGGCCTTATGTTCCTTGCTTTCGACAGCCAGGCTTTTTGACTTCGTTTTCCTCCTCGAGGAGCTTGTATTTCCCTGAGACAACACAGCCAGGTTGCCCATACTGTTATGGGTCGACGACCCAGGTTCCGCACTAGCGGCTCCTTTAGCTATGGCTTCGCCACACGTGCGCCTGTGCTTCAACAGCCTGTCAGTCCTTGAAAAATACTGTTGGCAAGTGTCACATTTGTATGGCTTTTCTCCACTATGCGTCCTCTTGTGCCTCTCCATGTGGTACTTCTGGATGAACTTCATGCTGCACTGATCGCACCCGAACGGCTTCTCTCGGCTGTGGATCTTCTCGTGTCTCTGCAGCAGGTATTTCTGGATGAAGCCCATACTGCACTGGCTGCACTGGAAGGGTCTCTCTCCGGTGTGAATGAGGACGTGCCTCCGCAGGTGGTAGGAGCTTCTGAAAGCAGCACTGCAGTGGTCGCAGATGTGAGGTTTCTGACTTGGGGAGAGGACGGCGCCTTCTCCGTCTCCGACCAGAGGAGGTTTGGAAGATGCGCTTGGCTTCCTCTTGGCTTTGATTCCCTGAGATTCTGGCTTTGGCCTCTTTGCCTTCTTGACGGTAGTGTCCTGCTTTGGCTCCTCGCCGCCGCCGCCGCCGCCGCCGCCGCCGTGGTGGTCGTCAGTCCTGCCGGTGCCGCTGAGCAGCACGTCGCGGTGGTGCTGGGCTGGCTGCTGCTGCTGCTGCTGCTGCTGCTGCTGCTGCTGCGCGTGCTGGTGCAGAATGCTGAGGTCCTGGATGACGCCGTGGCTGCCGCCCCCATCGCCGCCCCCTAGGCCTGCAGGTCGCTCTTCGGCCCCGGCGAACAGCCCCCCGTAGTGGTGGTGGTGGTGGTGGTGGTGGTGGTGGTGGTGGTGGTGGGGCTGCGGCTGCGGCTGCGGCTGCGGCTGCTCCTCGGGGTCCGCCGGCTTCTCCTGCTTGATGCTGACCAGGGACTGCAGGAAGCCCCAGGAGGTCCTCTGCGAGGGGAAGGCCGCCGCTGACGCCGACGCCGCCGGCTCCTTCTTGAAAGTCATGTCCGGGGCCGGCGGCGGGGGGGGCGGCTCGGCGGCCGGGGCTGCGGAGGTCGCGGAGGATAACACGCACTGCGGGGGGGGGGCGGCCGACCCCGCCGGCCGGGTGAAGCTGGTGACCGGGGGGAGCCGGTGGTTGAACATGACCATCCCCGGGGGGAAGGTGGGCTCCATCTCCGCCCTCCTGCCGCCGCCGCCGCCGCCGCCGCCGCCGCTGCTGCTGCCGGGACCGCCGCCGCCGCCGCCGCCGCCGCCGCCGCCGCTCAGGAACCCGCCGCCGACTTTCATGCCCCGGAGGAGGCCTGGCTGCGGAGAGGGGGGCAGAGGGGACACGGAGGAGGGGCTGGGACCGGGCCCCGGGCCCCGGGCGCCCCGACCCGCCGCGCCGCGCCGCGCCGCGCCGCCGCCCCGACCGCAGCGCGCCCCGCGCCAGCTCCCAGCCCGCTCGCTCCGGCACCGGCACCGGCACCGGCACCGCCACCGGCACCGGCACCCGCACGCACGGCCCCGCGGCCCCTCCCCGGGCCTCGCCCGCCCCCGCCCCCGCCCCGGCCCACCCCGCCACACTTACGGGTACCGCCGCCGCCGCCGCCGCCGCCGCCGTCGCCTCCAGTTAATAAAAATAACGCCGTCCTCTCCACAATGGAATTAAAAGCCTCTCCCGGACTGCGCAGGCGCGGCGCGGGGCCTGCCGGGAACGCTCACCCCGGCCGGAGGGGCGCTCGGCGGCGCCACGGCGCCTGCGCCGCGGCTTCCGCCCGGCCCGCCTGTCAATCACTGGGGCGGTTGGGCGGAGGGGCGGTCCCCGCGCTGCAGGGGGCGGGGACTCGGGGCCACGCCCCCCTTGGCCCGCCCCCGCCCCCGCCCCCGCCCCGCGAGAAAGAGGCTCGCAGGCGAGCCCCGTGATTGGCGGGCTGCCCTGACCGCGGGGCGGGGCTCCGCGGGACCCGCCTGCCGCGTGGCTCTGGTGGGGCTGCAGAGAAAAGAGGCAGGCGGAGCGCGGAGCGGGGGGGGGAGGGGGGGAGAGGAGGTGGGGAAACTGAGGTCCCAATGTTGCAGGAGGCCGGGGTTCGGGGCCTTCTGGGCTCGGCTGCTTGCAGTCCAGTTGTAGGATCAAAATCCGCAACCTGCCGTTGGATGACCTAGGGCGCTTTTGGTTCTACCTGAAAGCGGCCAACTTCAGATGCTCCCAGCATCCATTAAAAAAAAAAAAAAAAGAAAGAAAGAAACACATAAAAGTCAAAAATTAAAAAAATAAAAAGATTGCGCTTCTGTGATTAGTTTGCAGACATTTTAAATAATGGGCGTGCGTCCTTTGCATTTCTAGGAGGAGCCTGCTTTGCAGCCGCAATACAGGTACCGTTGCAAAAAAAAAAAAAAAAGTTGTCTTCTTGCCAACCTACCTGAAGGCTACTGGAAAAGGAAACCGCGTGTAATCCAGGGGCAGCCGCCCTGTGGGACACACCTACACACACACACTTCGTCATCATCGGATGGTATTTAAATGCCCGCATACCTAGTCTGGCTGAGGAGTCTTTGCCGCTTGGCCCTGCTGCCCAGCCTCCTAGGCTCCTTATAAAGCGCGCACTGCTAGGCCCCGGTGTGATCTGTGCTGGGATTCACTCTGCGCTCCCCGAGCAGAGCAGAGGATGCCGAGAAATGCCTGCAAAATTACGAGATCTTTTCCTAAGGGAAATCACAAAGGAAAATCTCGAAATCGAAAACCAACAAAAATCAGACATCAGTGCCTGATGCACACAAAGCACTCCCTTGCATAGGAAGCATGCAGAAATCTAAACCAGCCTAAGCAAGACTGGAAATCACAGATTTCCACCCCCCCACCCCCCGCCCCTCAAAGAACTAGGTCTATGACAACAATTTACTTACATAGTATACTTTGTAAATGAAACGTCAAGTCAATTTTCTAGCTAAACAACTTCTCATAATTAAATCATCGATGACTTCTCGGAGAAATTTCACCATTGAAACCATAAGTACTATTCATTATTCCTAATGGGCCTCTCTTAGCCTGCTCAAAAACTTAAGAGATAATAATGTTTAGTGGGCATTTTGAGGTGAGAAATGATACTTTTCTATTTCCGTGCAATTACACATGAGCATTCTGCTGCTTACGCTGTGACGCCGTAAACCATCGAGTGTAGTTAAGTGTTAAAAGAAAGACTGAAAATTCAAAAACTTAAGGCAGTAGTAAAATATTAGTCAATGCCTATGAGAAATGAGGCTGTCCCTTTATTCAGGGTGTCAGTGTTTAATGGTAAGCTGGGATGCATATAAGCCAGTCCAAGCATGAAGGGCAGTAGGACACTCATCTGAAAAGCCAACTTTGTTCCTCAGTTATCAAGATAAGAAACCTGTCATTTCTCTCATTCACTGTCAGCCTTGAGATACTCCAAGCCGACTTACCTCTGTGTTGTATACCCCATATATCAGGAAGATGAAGAGACCCTGTAAAATAAAATGGAGGGAAAAAGCTGTTAACGCTAATCATTTCAGCAGTAGAAATACCTGAAATAAACTTTCCTGGGAACAGACAAAAGAAGACACACTTCATCAAGGTCAATTTATTTTTCTATTTTTCAACATTAGAAGCTGTACCTTGAGCATTTATAAGGTAACACACCAGCACATCACTTACAGTGGTTGTGCTATTCGATGCTCCATAAATAGAAAGTAAAAATACCATTCCCGGTACATAGAATATTAATTAGAAAAATCAATATGCCAGTCTCTGGAAGATAGCTGGGTAATGAAAAAATTAAACTCAGAAAATGTCATCAAAGTAATCACAGAAACAGCACTCACCATCAGTATTTCAAAGCACTGTTTTAGACTACTAGCAACTATAATATATTTGTTACTGTCTTTGATGGGGTAAAAAAAAAATTTTTTTTAATTAAAACAACTAAAAGGATAAACTTGGGGTAATAAATGTGAATAGCTTTTAAATGATATTTAAAATACCAGTTCAAGTTAAGATAAAATTTCACATTATCACTTGTAAAACTGCACACATTTTCATTGTAACTTTTTTTTTAAGATTTTTTTTTCATTTATTAATCAGAGAGAGAAAGAGAGAGAGAGAGAGAGAGAGAGAGAGGCAGAAGACAGGCCCCATGCAAGGAGCCCGACATGGGACTCGATCCCGGGACTCCAGGATCACGCTCTGGGCCAAAGGCAGGTGCCAAACCACTGAGCCACCCCAGGATCCCCTATTGTAACTTTTATATAAAGAAGCTCCAAAGATCTGCTATTTATTTATGAATCCTTAGTTTTAGGAAATACTTAATTGTAAAATAGAAAATGAATCTCACTCTTAAATCTAACAGATTAAATTTTTTAAGTAAGTAAAACTGATAGAGTAAACTTATTAGAGATAATAGCAAGAAATTTTCCATGAGTTTCTGCCTTACAGAGGAAATAAAATCTATAGTGTCCTCTTCTTGTTAGATATTAGTAAACTAAATGTTAGAGGTCTGCACTAAAGTCTGGAAGTGATTCAAATAGTTAAGAAATATGACGTTTTCAAAAGGAAAATATTACAGGAATATCGGAATATTTGTTTCACACCTGAGTACTTAACATCTTACAGATAATGGAAACAATCCTATAACAAGGAAATTGAATAAAACAGAAAAAAGTTTTGCTCTTCTTAGTTTCTTTTGTAATAGACTTTTGTAAGAACAAAAGAAAAATGAGAAGATAGTACCAAGAGTTTGCATGTATCCCACACCCAGTTTCCTTGATTGTCATCATTTTGCTTTTTTTTTTTTTTAAGATTATGTATTTATTTCAGAGAGACAGGGAGAGAGGTCGTAAGCAGATGCCATGCTGAGCACAGAGCCCAACACGGGGCTTGATCCCATGACCCTGAGATCACAACCTGAGCCAGAACCAAGAGTTGGACTCTTGAGTGACTGTGCCACCCAGGTGCCCTTCATCATTTTACTTTTTACATTTTTTAAAAGTAATCTTTGCACCCACTGTGGGGCTCAGACTCCCAACACCTAAGATCAAGAGTTGCATGCTGTACTGAATGGGCCAGCCCGGTGCCCCTGATCATTTTACATTACTATTCATTATATTCATTACAATTAATCTTACTAGTTTTCAGTAATACTCTTTATATGATTTCAGAAACAAACTTGCATTATATGTATTTGTGTTAAGAACAAAAACTGGGGATCCCTGGGGGGCTCAGTGGTTTAATGCCTGCCTTCGGCTCAGGGCGTGTGATCCTGGAGTCCCGGGATCGAGTCCCACGTCGGGCTCCGGGCAAGGAGCCTGCTTCTCCCTCTGCCTGTGTCTCTGCCTCTCTCTCTGTGTGTGTGTCTCTCATGAATAAATAAATAAATCTTTTTTTTTAAAGGAACAAAAATTGATAAGAAGTGTGAACAACCAAAAATTTCCATTGGGTCATAAGGTATTAAAAATTCAAGCACAGTGAGAGTTTTTTCACTGTGCCCACAGATGTCCCATAGCTCAATACCAACACTCAAGTCCATTTTTCAAGTAGCCTTTTTCAAGATCTACACAGTGCAGAGTGAATTCAAGCTGCTTAGATGGTACTCCTTTTATAGGTATTTGTTTACCTATATTCTAGATAATTCAAGAAAAAAATTCTTCTTTGATTTATGACAAAAGTGTTAGATTATTAAGTCCTCCTTCCTTTCATGATTGTTCATTCTTTATGTCATATTGTGTTATACAGATATAAAATTCAGAGTAGGTCACTCAAATTTTACTTCTATTTATGAGGTAGGAGTGTTTTGCTTTGTGCAATAGATGAGTTCTTCACTACAATGTCTTATGTATTGAATAACAAGCACTATGACGTGTATATGTTAAGAAATCCAGTGTTTCCATGAAATCTGTATGATACTTTGAAATTAGAGTCCTCTGCAATGTGTACCATCACTCCTGTAATTTATCCATTTTGTAAGCTCAATTTTCTCTAAAAGAAAGGAGAATTTTAAAAATCACACTTATTCTCCATGTCTCAGTGAAGAGGATATAGATCATGTCCTAATATTTTTATTTACAGTACTTCCATGTTACTTGTTACACGTTTTAAATTTTAATACATTTAACTCTATAAAGTAATAGAAAATGACCAACAACAAAAATCTCCCTTTTGAAAAAAGGATTTATACTGAAAAACAATTTTAAATAAAGGCAACTCCATTCTCAGAGGGTTTGGGCACTTCTTTTTCTTCAACGGATGGACACTGAAGAGCATGACAAGCAATCCCCAAAGTGATGACTTCAAA